GAGACTAGAGGGAGGGGGGAAAATGGCTGTGGGAATGGACTCCCCTACTGACTGTCCCAGGGATGAAGGAGCTGAAAGAAGTGGTGCTGGATATCAGAGACTATTTTTCTAACCCAGATTCTGCCGTGAGTTAGATAAGGAATGTTGAAGGTTTCCTGGGCCTCAGAAACTTTATCTGCTAGCCTTCCCTCCTTTTGAGGGCAACTTTAAGAGCAAAATAACTGTACAGTTATGTATTTATAAAACTGGTTATACATAACAATAATAAAATGGAAAGAACCCCTTGAATTTTCTCACCTTACTCACTCAAGCAGTCTATTCAGTCTGTACTCAGAGAGCCAACTCATATCATAGACACTTTATGTTTAGTCCATGGAGGACCTAGGACTGTTCTGCACCTGTCAGTGGTCTTCTAGTCTTTGAAGATTTTTGTATCCTAAGGGCTCTCAGAAAGGATCAGGAGCCCCATAAGTGAGAAATCTCTCTTCTGTCATCCATCTCATGGAGTACCGCCATGAGGTCGCCCTCTGGGGACTTACAACCGCTTCATTATGTGTATGTGTACCTGAGCCTGCCTGAAGTGGCCTGCCCAAGACCACACAGGCAACTGGTGTCCCCAGTCCTTTCCCCTGCATCACCTGGCCTTGCTAAGTGATCAGCATCAGCAGACTCTTACCCGCTTTGTATTCATCAGAAGTTTGTATTTTGGGAAAATACCTTGGGATTCATCAGAAGTACCAGGTGGTTCTGGAATAGGCTCTCACTTAAAAAAAAAAAAAAAAAAAAGCCACTCCCTGAACGAAAATGGTGAGCAGAAGTGGAACTTGAGGGAAGTAAGGTGGAGGTTGGGGGGAACGACAGAGATTTTGAAAGCACCAGGTGTCTACCTGAAACCAGTGGGCAAAAGGGCACAAGTCTGAAGAACTGCCATGCAGGTCCTCTGTCCTGCTCTGGAGGCTGCGGGCAGCCTGTGCAGTGCACCTCCTGAGGCTGAAAGGAGGCAGAGATTGCCCTGGAACTTTGACTTAGTAGCTGTATTATTATGGGCAAGTTATTCTTTCCCTCTGAACCTTGCTCTTCCCAGGTGTGTAACCGAGAATGAAATCTAAGTGGCAGAATGATTCTGACATTTTAAATGACATATCAAATGCAAAATAATTATTAAAATAATCACCATTTATTAAGTTACTACATCCATGGGGTTTTTCATACCATCTCCTGCAAGTCTACAGGACAGATGTCTTTATCCCTGTTTTATAGATGAGGAAACCTAGGCTCAGCAGAGAGATTACATTTCTTGGGCAAAATAACACAGCATTTAAAAGGTAGCTGGAGATTGAGTTTTCAAAGCTAGTGCTTTTTTCATCACAAGCTGCCTGTCCCTGGACCTGGCACCAGAGAGGTGCTCACTACACGTGCGTTTGAGCTGTATCTTCCTCAGGGAGTACCAATTGGGGTTTCTTCCCTCACTAGGTACATAAATCTGAGGTAGAAACTGGAAAGGCCCAAGAAGGACAGGTAGCTCTATTTCTGGGATATGGAGGAATCAACAGGGAGCCACCCTGGCTAAACTCAGAGGGGCCAAGGAGCGGCTCTCATGGCCTCAGTATTCTTGTCTGAAAAATGGGCACAATAATTTGTCAATGATTAGATGATAACAGTAGTGTTGAAAAGACTCTCAATAAAAAGAAAACAAACAAGTGGGTGAGAGGAATTGGGAGAGTGTTGAAAAGAGCCAGAAGAAACAAAGAAGACGGGGCAGGAGATGAGTAAGAAGCAGAGTGGTGGGCAACGTAAATGTGAATGTGGTAGGTTAGGGCTACAGTGTTGGAATAGGTGTGTGGTGAACTGCGAAATTTTCTTTTCTTTTTTTTTTTGAGATGGAGTCTCACTCTGTCGCCCAAGCTGGAGTGCAATGGTGCAATCTTGGCTCATTGCAACCTCCACCTCCCGAGTTCAAGCAATTCTGCCTCAGCCTTCCAAGTAACTGGGATTACAGGTGCCCTCCACTGCACCTGGCTAATTTTTGTATTTTTTTTTTTTAGTAGAGATGGTGTTTCACGATGTTGGCCAGGATGGTCTCAAACTCCTGACCTCATGATCCGTCCACCTCAGCCTCCCAAAGTGCTGGGATTACAGGTGTGAGCCACCGCACCCGGCTGAAGTGAAAAATTTTTAAGCCTCTGTCACTGCTTTGCATGGCATTGAATTATAATGCTTTTTTGTGAGTACATTCATTAAGGAGAACTTGAGTAAAGGTCAATAGATTTCAAACCACTTTGGGTTTTTTTGTTGGTTTAATCCATGGTTTCTTTTTATGAAATGAAATTTTACACAGAAACAAATACATAAATGACTATGGTGGAAGCCTCTCTAACAGAGGTAAGTCCCATAGCCTCCTAGCCTTAAACCTCCTCCTGAGCTCCCCAGAAATACACTGAGGCACTGCCACAGCCTCCTAGGGTAGCAGGGGGCACAGTCTGTAAAATCCTGCCTTAGGAGCCTTGGCTCCTTATCCTGACCTTCCACTGGCTTGGGAAACATCACCATAACCCTCTGAATATCAGCCTTCTCATCTGTGAAATGGGATCAGACTGAATAACCCCTAAGACTCCTCCCAGCTCTGAGATGCTCGGGTCTGTGGTTTTCATGAGGAGAGCTCCGTAACACACTGGAGCATTTGGACAGAGGCATCAAGTGCTTGGGGACGGGGCTGGAAAGCAGGAAGTAGGCTTTCCACTCTCCCCTCCCCGAAGTCTTACTGCTGAATCACCGCTCCTTGGTTCTGACTGCACTGATAGTGTACCTTTCTCATAATCAGGCTCCTTCCCTCCACTCAACTCTTGAGACTCTAGGGGACAGGACAGGAAAGGAGGTAACAACCAAGAGGAAAGGAAGATGGCAAAGGGCAGGACCTGTTATCCCTTCCTGTTAGAGGGCATCTCACAGCTGACTTCCCTGATGCAAAGACATCTGAGGCTTGGCTGGGGCAGAAGACAAAGGGTCTGCTGCTCCAGCTCCCTCCACCTCCAAAGGCAGGCGGGGGACAGCCGTCTTAACCTTCTGGCTCACTTTGCTAAGAAACCATCCAAAGGTGTTTTGGGATATCTTTCTCATTTTTAGCTATCCGTGCAGAAATAAAACCAAAGATGGGAAGCCTCTTCAAGGCCTCACTCTTGTGCTCCCGTTTCCTGACCTTGTCACCAACATCCCACCTTGTTGTTTAGGCTGGCCTGTACTTCTCAAAAATGCTTTCAAATCCGTATTCACACTTCATCTTCCTCAAATGCCTGGAAATTAAATGTTGTTATTTATTTCCCGTAGGAGGGTTCAGAAACCAAAACTTGAAGTGGTAAATGGTGAAGCAGTAGTGGAAAAAACACAGACCTCTGAGATGGAGGAACTAACTCCTCTTCCCTATTCCAACACTTCTTCATTGGGGGCTTTTGGAATGTTACACCCCTTCTCAAAGCTCCAGTATCCTCAGTCATAAAGCAGGGCTTAAGCTCTAGCTCACGGGCTAGTCTCAAGATCAGGAGAGAGGATGCCCATGGACCTGGCTGAAAAGCCATGAGTGGCACCAGGTGTTGGTTGCTGTTATTATGACCATGGAAGCACCAGAATGGACCCAGGGTCCTGACTCCCAGTTAGGCTGGAGCCCTCTCTCCCTCTGCCACATGAAGGAGAAGCCACCTCTACCCCTCTCTGGGCAGGACTTGCTGACCCCATCACTGGGCGATCTTGCCTCTAATCCTGTGGACCAGTCACTGGCTAATTCACAGCAAAATGATGTATTCAGTTACCACCCAGGGAGGATATTTCTTTCTGGAGAATTTAAAGTGTCAGTGAGGTGAAATCAGTGGTCAAGTTTCAGGGGATATGTGTGAGGAAGAGTTGGAGACTTCCTCAGGAAAGAGCTTTGAACTAGAATTTACGGGTTTGAATAAGATTTAGATGAACAGAGAGGACGGCAAAGCACAAACAACAGTGTGAGGGAGGTGAGCTGAGGATCGGGAGACGGGGGAGGCCCGTTTGTGTGGCAGTCACACGTCAGTGGCAGTCCCGGCTACGCATCTTTCCACAGCAGTACATTGTCATCCTGGCCTTATGCAATCAACCCATGTCACATGACGCCCCTGAACTAATGACTGTGCAGAAGGAGGGCTACCACCTGAGCTGGGGATCCCAAACCATTTGGCTTCTATGGGAAGAGGAAGGGGTAAAATGGTTGTAGAAGAGGCATGTTACAATCTTCACTGCACTGACTCAGATGAAAGGTTGGCACCTGAGGAGAGTGGATGAATATAATACCATGGGACCCAATCGTCTCGGGCCTTGTGGGCAGAGACCTCTGTCTCCAGGGTCTCACTCTGTCATCCAGGGTGGAGTGCAGTGGCACAATCATGGCTCACTGCAACCTCCACTTTCTGTGCTCAAGGGATCCTCTCACCTCAGCCTCTCAAGTATCTGGGACCACAGGTGAGTGCCACTATGCCTAGTTATTTTTTTCATTTTTTTGTAGAGACAAGATCTGGCTATGTTGCCCAGGCCAGTCTCAAACTCCTGTCCTCAAGTGATCCTCCTGCTTCGGCCTCCCAAAGTGCTGGGATTACAGGTGTGAGCCACCAATTCCGGCATCTTCTGTTTTCATAACACATGTAGTCACTTTTTTAGTGGCTGTCTACCAACTTCATGAGTGCCAGAATTACGACTGTCTTGCTCTCCAGTTATATCCTTGGCTCCTAAACAACGGGAATTAAATAAATTCTTGTTAAAAGAAGGAATGAGCCAGGCGCGGTGGCTCAAGCCTGTAATCCCAGCACTTTGGGAGGCTGAGGCGGGTGGATCACGAGGGCAAGAGATCGAGACCATCCTGGTCAAC